CTATCTCCTCCTTTTCTTTTTCTTCCTCCCCTTTCTTTTTCTTCACCTCTCCTTCTTTAATTTCCCGAAATTAGATCAAAGTTCGGATAAGTAACTCGGACCGCGCCAGTATTAGCGCGAACCGCGCCAAGTTTCTGAGCAAACTTCAATTCTCCGGGATTGTGGCACGGACCGTGTCACTTCTGGCGCGGACCGTGTCAGATCTCGGAGCTGTTTTTATCCGAAATCCGTCCTTTGATCCTATTTTCCTGTAAATCACGAAAAGAGACAAACAAAGCGGGTATAGGGTGCCTCTGGTACCTAAACATGCAAGATATGTATGCGTATAACACTTCTAGACTCGCAAAATGCAGTGTGAAATAGGAATTATCAACGGGCCTACAAGGTCACACATGTAGGGCTGTTACTATTTTCTAGAGCGTGGTTGGGATGGTCTATTGTGATAGACTAAAACTCGATCATGAGTAGAGCAAGTGGAAGATTGATGGATATGATGCTCTATCCACGATCGGTATGCGAAACTGATTAGAAATCCATTAGATGGGTTTATGTGGTCCAATGGGCTCATATGTTTATGAATAAGATTAATGGGCTTGTTATCTCTTAATGGCTAAGTGAAAGCCATTAAGCCCATTTGGTTTAATAAAACCCTAATCACTTATAATTATGAGTTAGACATAATTTTGTGATTAAGTGAATTCTCTCTCTCTCCACTTCGGCCGTTGTATTCTCTCTCCCGGGATCGTCTCAGTTTTCATTCCTGACCTCTAGATCATGTTCTATCATACGCAAGCTCGTGAATGTAGACTAGCTGTAGAGAACGTTGGATTTCAGCGTTTGTGACAGGTCTCTCGATCGAAACAAGTTGGTGTATCGATATCTTTATCATTATATGCAAGATCTGTTGATTGGGTTTCGTTTTATATATTCCGCTGCGTGAAACCCAAAGTTGGAACCCTAGAAACTGTTGTGAACGCACATTTAGGGATATCCAAAATCCCAACATTATATATATACACGCGTATCGATAATCACACATAACACAATCACAAAAATCCATATGACATCACATCATAGGACTTTGAAAATAACAAGAAATACCGATTTTGGATTTTTCAACCGATCGGTAAAAATAAAAATTAACCACTAAGGTTTAAATAGACAGAATGGATAGTAATTACCTAAAAGTTTTAATAAATGGAAAGAAAGGAGGGGAAGAACCGTTTTCAATTTACGGTCGAATGAAAATTTACCGCTAAGGTAAAAATTAGTCAGAATGAATAGTAATTATCGAAAAGGTAGAATAAATAAAAATAAAGACGTGGTGAGCAGTGTAATTTAACCTTCAAGCGACCCATGACGTTAATCGATGGGTCGGTTGGGACCGAACATCGTGACACGTGTGATTGTAGTTGGAGAATTGGTACGATGATTGCGATGTGTGTAGTCTATGCTTACGGTCTATGAGTGAATAGTGGTGTATTATGAGTTAAACGTAATTGTGAATGTGGGACCATATGGTACAGATGATTGCGATGGCCAATATCGGATCACCGAGATGATTGGACCAGATGATACAGATGGTCGAGATATCAAGTATCATGTCATTACGATATGGAGACCAGATGATGCAGATGACCGAGATAGTTAGTATCAGGTCATTACGATGATCGGACCAGACGATATAGATGGTTGTGATGGTCAGTATCAGGTCAATGAGTAGTAGTCACGTGTACAATATTGTTAATTGACAATGGGCCAGCAATGTCGTGTCGATGATGATGGGATGATTTCGTTTCTCTCTCTCAGTTCACTCTTTTTTTGAATTAAAGGAAGACATAAAAAAAAAAATATTTCTCTGCAAACATACACTTCATTCCATAACCACATATATGTCCATATACGTACTTATATAAAACAAAATGAAAAACTGCTAATGGAAGTTACATAAAAACATAAAAGCAGGAACCACTAAAGATAACTATCCTAAAAAAACTGAAACATACAAACTGCAATATCAACCCACTTCAATTTCTTAAACCGATCTTTGAACCAACATTTTCTGTACCGGACTTGAACCAATAGAACCAATAAAACTCCTCTTTGGTTCAATGTCTCTAAACATATTTCAATCTTCAAACTTTTTTTGAGTGCAAAGTTGCTCCACCTCGGATTCTCAAATACGTTTCTCAAGTGCAACATTGCCCCTTCTCGAGTTCGCAACTTTCGGGTTCACCTTATTGAGGCATAAACCCGACAAACATCACAACAATCTTCAACACCATCGGAATCGTCGCCTTCGTAGCAAAGACTCTCCTCGGGTTCATCTTCTTTCTTTTTCGAATACAAATTGAATGTTTGCCGTGTTTATGCCCCAATAAGGTGGACCCGAAAGTTGCGAACTCGAGAAGGGACAATATTGTACTCGAGAAACGTATTTGAGAATCCGAGATGGGGCAACTTTGCACTCGAAAAAAGTTTGAAGATTGAAATATGTTTAGAAACATTGAACCAAGGAGGAGTTTTGTTGGACTTTTTGGTTCAAGTTTTTTAAAAAAAAGAATACAGAAAGTGGCGTGGAAAAATTCAGTAAGTTAGAAGGAGTTACCAAACGTTTATGGAGGAGTTGTAGAGGCGGTTTTCTATCAGTTGTTCTATAAGAGCAACCTTAAGGCTGTAAAAAAAAATTATTGCAGATATGTTGGTTTGGTCTATAATCCTATTCGATTTTTCTACCGAATAGTTAAAGTTTACACAAACGACATACAATTTTGTAACTCTTCAAATTATTTTGAGATTTGATTTGTGTATGAATCAATTCTTTCATATACCCATTGGCATGAGAAAAAATATATTTTTGTATAGAGAGAAAAACTTATCTCTACGACGAAATTACGACAAAATTGCGATGAAATACTGATGGACGGCGATGAAATTCGGTTAACATGTGGTGCACGTGTTTACCTAACGTATGATGCACCAACTCCATCTCTATTGCGACAGAACCGGTGCATCGCATTCCGTCGCAAAATTTAAAAGATGAAACACTCCGTCTCTTTTCATCGCGGACTTTAATGATGGCATTTCCGTCCTGTCGGAATTGGTCACAATTTCCGATAGACTTCACGACAATTTGCGACGAATTTTTTTTCCATGATTTCTGTCGCGAAGACGTCGTAATTTTGTATGCGACGAAATAAATCGTTGCAAATACTGTCGCTATAGATAGTTTTTTTTTTTACAGTGAGTCGAAGTCTTGAGCATCTCAGAAGAGATCTTGATCGATCTGATCGGAACATCATCCTCTCCAAGCAGAGGGGCCATCACCGGCGGAAAATCAGACGTTACAGGATTGGTTCTTTCTTCCTTACCGCTGACATATGACCGTGTAGCATTATCTGCCCATACCTTTTGTATGTAACCACTTTCTCATAGGATTCCCATTTGTGTTTGTAATCAGTCTCCTTAACTTAGTTGTAAAAAACATCTTTATTTATATATAAATTTACATTTAAAAAAAAAAGAGAAATCGCCAAAAAAAAACCCTATATTCTTCTTAACTCGATGAAAAAATCATGTACTATTTTTTGTTATTGATTAAACCTTGTACTTGGTATATTTAACCAATAAAATCCCGAACTTTTTAAAAATTCACCGAAAATCCTTCGCGTTTGACAACTCAAATAAAAATGATTATTTCACAATGATATGACTTTTAAGTCATATACACATCATCATAATTAAGCTACATCATCATTTCAAATAAAATTTAGATTGAATAATTCATTTAAATTAATATATACATACAAATTCATATATATATATATATATATATTAAAAATAAAATTACTTATAATTAATAAAACACATAGATACATACCTACAACATATATGTATATTATAACTAATACATAGTAAACCAAACCCAAGTAATTATAATTTAATTTTATATACATACATAATATATATATATA